ATAGAGAAATGCTCAGCATATCTAACCACTATACACAGCCTTCATAAATAACGAGAAGGCGTTTCATTCAGTAGAAATATCAGCAGTCATCGAGACACTACGGAATCAGGGCGTCAATGAAGCATATGTAAACATCCTGGAAGAAATCTACGTTGAATCAACTGCTACCATAGTGCTTATTAAAAAAATCAACAGAATACGAATCAAGAAGGGTGTAAGGCAGGGGAATACAACGTCGCCAATGTTCATTACCGCGTGCTTACAGGAGGTTTTCAGAGGCCTAGAATGGGAACAGTTAGGAATAAGAGTTAATGGAGAGTACCTTAGTAACCTGTGCTTCACCGATGACATTGCATTGCTGAATAACTCAGAGGTCGAATCGCAACTCAGGATTACGGAGTTAGACAAGAAGAGCAGAGAAAGGTAGGTCTTAAAATTAACCTGCAGTAAACGAAAGTAATGTACAACAACCTCGGAAGAGAGCAGCGCTTCGAGATAGGTAATGGTACACTTGAAGTTGTAAAAGACTATGTCTACTTAGGGCTGGAAATAACCGCGGAGCCGAACCACGAGATTGAAGTAACTAGAAGAATAAGAATGGGGTGGAGCACAATTGGCAAGCACTCTCCAATTATGACAGATAGATTGTCACTGTCTTTCCAGAGGACGGTATATAACAGCTGTATCTTGCCGGTACTTAGCTACGAAGAGCATATGGCTAAGCCGGGCATGGCAGTCAGACAATTGTGATTTAGACGCGCGGCCATATATTGAACATATATGCAAGTTGCGAGAAGTTTTTGCAAAACTTTGCTACAATGATGAACTGCTAAATGTTATGGATGAACTATGTCATTCGAAACTATTCAAGTATGTATGGTAAATGGCTCATCTGCTTGGAATTGAGCTAGCAGCTCAGTCCGAGTGTGTTTGCTGTTGTTTGAATGTTACATGCTGCAATAAAGAAAAAAATCGGCCATACCATGCTGAATGCGCCGGTTCTCGTCCGAACACCGAAGCTAAGCAGCATTGGGCTCGGTCAGTACTTCATCCGTCATGATCTCAAGGATCGCTTGCTTTCGTTTTGCACAGCCCAAAGTAATGCCGAGTTCCTCACAAATTTCGATGATTTCCTTCACTTTAAGGTGCTCCATCGCTCACAGTAGCCTCTTGCTGTTTGCCCCTGTTAATAATCTACTTGCCGTACCCACTACAAGTCTACTAGCAAGACGCGCAAGCAATTTTCAACACTCCCGTGTTTACACGCTCCGCATTAACTTTGGTTTCAAAGTGCTTCGACTTTGCTTGAAACGATCAAATCTCACTCTAATGCTACACACAGCCCTTCTCTAAAGTACTATAACCTGTGCTAGTGTGGTCTGGTGAACTGAGAGGAAAACATCAGGCACTCACCGCATCGATGTCGCTGAAGCCGGCCGATCCCGCAGCTGTCAACCACTGTTACGAAAGACGGCGACGCCAACACGGTACCGAAGGCGCCACAGCTCCGAACTCCGCCGACACGGTCACCAGCCGTTTGGTAGCGTGTGTTACTCAGCTCGCGACTGCTTCTGCGCAGAGCTGATAGACGAGCGGACGAGACGACGGTGAGTTAAGGCAAGGTTTATGTACAGCAAAAAAATAGAGGCGTTACAAATTCCGTACTGGGGCCGACAGTTTAGGGACTCGAAGAGCCGAGATGTCTTCTCTCGCACGCTGTTACGAGGCGCACCGTCGACAAGGTTACGATGGGCGCCACGAAGCTCGCCGCTGCCAAGGACACCGGGCGCGCCGTCTGTGAAGGGGCTCGAACCGACAGGCTTCTCTGACCCATAGGTCAGCTGCTGGTGACGTGCCGCAGGGCTTTTTTTATAGGCAGCGGGTAGATTCTTTGAGTAACTAAATGTCCAACCAGAAGGGCCACTCGCCATGATGTCGGAATCCTCCAATGGGGCCCGCCGCTGCGCGTGGTTGCACCAAGGACGAGGGATGTTGCCACGCATTGCGTAAGACTCGCCAGACTAGAAGGCGCCAGTTGCTTAAACAGGCTCGCGCGCTGAGGACGCTCGCGGTGCGTTGCGTGACAAACCGGTGCCGTCGCTTGATGACGTCGTTGAGGTTGGTCGCGTCAGGCGGGCTTGATTGCTGGCCTTGACACAGATTGCCTTTTGCCGAGGCATTGACGTTCGGTGTGGACTCACAGGTGTAACACTGCGCACGTGTGTTTAACTGTGGCGCGCATGGCAGTTAGATCGTGCGATACCTTTACTCGACAGACTTTACTCGACAGACAGGTTTGTACAATAGCTTTAAGAACATATCAAATTTGTCGGGGTTTAATTTTCATATGGTTATGAAAGACTATGTAGTGGAGGCTCCAAAAATTTCGACCTCGTGGGTTCTTTTTGTTTGCTTTTACGTGCGCCAAATAGCAGTTAAGCTCACGGGCCTCAAGCACTTTCGCTTTTATCGAAAATGCGGCCGCCGTGGTCGGGATTCGACCCGGCGCGACTTGCAGGCCAGCATCGAGTGCCAAGCCACTACAGACCACCGTGGCGGGTTTCTGGGCCTTCCAAATATTCCTACTTTATATCGGTCACTCGTGTGCCACTTACTTATAAAAGGCAACGCAACAGACAATCTTTAGGTTACGGAAAATCACTTACCAGCACGATGGTGGTGGCGGCCCGCAAGCGCACACACATTCGTGCGTAAAAGTTGGTGCACTGGTACTTGTGCGCCCCAACGAAGGAACAGAGCAAGCTTTCAGCCAGAGAAATATGGACGGTCATGCACCTTCGAAGTTTCTGCCAAGAGCATTTAACGCGCTGCATAAGCGGTTAATTGTAACTTGGCAAGATGCAAATCGCCTATAGTTTGTTATAAGCAGTGTTGCAGAACGACCTGTTCTCGCCATCGGCCATACCATGATGCATTCTTCTTCCGGCAGCGAAAGCCGACGGTCGTGGAGTCATGAGCTCCGACGAGCTGTGATAGCGGCCCGCGCTGGCCGCGAAAACAGGAATAATGGTGCAGATGATATGGACTACGAGATCATGTTGCCTACGTTGCCCAGTGGCCATATTGTACTGAACACGTTGTTTTTGCATGGTGATTTGCGTGAGCGTCCCTACAGAGTTGAGGACTTTAGAGACGCCTTCGAGACCGTTGGAGTGCTTCCCGACGTTGTCTCCTTAGCCCTTTATTGACGAACGTTGCCCACAGGCAACATAGCGGAAAATATATTTATTTTTTTTGGATCACTTTCGGTTTCGCGAGCTTCTTTTTCCCTCCAAAGTCTCCCCATGTTACTGCCACATGAATGTGTGGCGCCCTCTGATTTGTAACTAAGAAACCGACGAAGAGAAAAAAGTTTGGCGCGCAAATCACTGCAGAGCGCTCTACGACGCGACTTCAGCGTTCGAACATCTATTTCCGGGTAAGCATTCGTTGTTCTCTCTCTGGCTTTTTGCAATGACTTAGAAAAATGCCTCACTTTCCTCGTTGTCAAATTATATAAACGGCGCTGCTAATTTGGGCCCGTACGGGCGCGTGAGGTGTTTGTTGCCTACAGGCAACACGAGGCACAATGCTGTGTTTTTCATCCCGCTAAGGTTGCACTGTGCAATTTTGTCTGGTAGCGCGCTCCTCTGCTTGCACTGCTTCCATTATCGCTGCACCACCTCACGCAGGACAGGCAGACAAAGCAACAATTTCGAAGAATGGACCCGGGTGCATTTTATGGAAAATTTGCTGCAAAAGTCCCCCTGACTACAGGGATGACTCTGACCTGGATTCATCGAGCGACGAAGAGCCTGAAAATGCTGTTTTAGCCCGGACAAGTAAGTATTTATTTTGTCGTGTCAGTCGGAACTACGCTATCATTCGATTGACGAATAAAGTACTCTCTCTTGCATAATAAAGCGCAGCGGGATGAGGTGAAGGAAGGGGTTGCTTGTATTACAAAAGGTTGTGTGGCCCGGCGCTTTCACTTGAGGCTGTCGGCATCTCTCACAGCAGACGCTTCTAGGTGTTTCCAAGTTCGGCAGCTCTGCGTGGGATGCGGATAGTCTGGCATTCCGTTTACGCTTTGCAGCAGGCTGGCTCTGTGTATTTCAAACAGTGTCATTGTTTAGGCCAGCTAGCGAAACAGTATTTCCGCAACTTTTTTCTTTAGCAGAAAATAGATTTTACTGAACACAGAGAGCACTGATGAAATTTACGAGAGTAATTACTATTTTTAATTTTGTTGGCTTTTTCTTGCACTTTGTTGACATCGCAATCATTTTCTGTGCAATTTTTGCAGCACCGCCAGCTGACAGTGAGGATGAAGAGGTCTCAGGAGCTCCAAGCGCGGGCAGTATGGACAATGCGCTTGAAGAAATCCCCAAGCCTTCGAAGGATTCTCCCACATGGAAGGCTGTCCAAGGCTCCTCGAGTAATGCCATGCCTGAGTGGAAAGACGTACCACCCTACCCATCCCCGGTGGAGTCTCCCATCACCTATTTCAGAAACTTCTTTGACGTGACATTCCTGTCTCGCATCTGTGAGCAGTCCTCCCTGTATAGCGCTCAGAGGAATCCCAACAAAGTTACTTCAATGACAGTCAATGATTTAAAGCAGTTCATCGGTACAGTGCTCACTATGTCGCTTATGAAGCTGCCTCAAACACGCATGTACTGGTCGCAGAGGTTCCGAGTCAGTCAAGTCGCCGACACCATGACGAGAGACAGGTGGGAAGAAATCAAGCAGTCACTGCATTTTAGTGACAACCAGGAAGCACCAGACCAGAATGACCCCGAACGTGACAGGCTTTACAAAGTGCGGCCCCTGTTGGACCACCTGGTCGCCAAATGCCACGAGATACCAAAATCTCAAAAGCTATGCGTTGATGAGCAGCTGGTGCCGTTCAAAGGCCGCAGCTCATTGAAGCAGTATTTGCCCAATAAGCCCAAAAAATGGGGTTATAAGCTTTTCCTTCTCTGCGATGAACGCGCCATAATGTACAACTTTGAAGTTTACACAGGCAAAATTCTTCCTCAGCAAGGTTTTCCCGACATCGGCGCAAGTGGCAACATCGTCCTGCGAATGGCGAGTATCGTGCCCCGCGGTCTAGACTACATCTTGTATTTTGACAACTGGTTTTGCGGCGTGGACTTACAAGTAGTCCTCAAGAAGATTGGAATCAGTTCCGTAGGGACAGTACGCGAGGCTCGCCTAAAAGGATGCAAACTTCCATCCGACAAAGATCTGAAGAAGAAAGGGCGTGGCTCTTACGTGGTAATGGCGACCACATTTGAAGGGGTGAGCCTGAGGGCTGTCAAGTGGTTTGACAACCGCCCCGTGACTTTACTGTCCACGTTTGCTTCAGCATCACCCGAGCAGGCCGTGAAGCGCTTCGACAAGAAGACCCGAACGACTGTGAGCATACCCCGTCCTGCTATTGTCGGCATCTACAATGAATACATGGGAGGTGTTGATCTTTTGGACATGCTTGTGGCACTCTACCGCATCCACGTAAGGTCAAAAAAGTGGTACAGGAGGCTCTTTTTTCATTTATTGGATGTAGTAGTTGTCAACTGCTGGCTCCTCTACCGCCGAGATGCCACCGCAGCTAACGTGCCTTGCAAGCACCAAATGACCCTGCTAACATTCAAAGCAGACATTGCCTGCGCACTGAGGCAACAGGGAAAGGTATCAACCCCTTCGAGGAAGCGACCATTGGGCCCATCAAAAGTCGAGAATGAATTGCAGGCGAAGAAGCGGCCCGGGCCATCAGCTCCTGTTCCATGCAAGGAGATAAGGCTCGACACTATCGACCATCTCCCGATGTTTTTTGCAAAAAAAGGCCGTTGTAAATACCCAAACTGCACAGGAATCACGCGAGTCATGTGCAGGAAGTACAACGTACACCTTTGTTTCACTCCAGGGAAGGAGTGCATGCACAAATTCCACACTAACCCGTAAGAAGCACGCAGTGAAGCCTACCTTATGGCTCGTGCCTACTGTTGCCCACTGGCAACAAAGCTGTACTTTAGAAACTATACGCAGAATTTTTTTTCTTTTTATGAAATATGCTTAGTCTTGTTGCAACAATTGTAAATATGTAGAAAAGAAATGTTTTTTGCAAGTATTTTATTGTCTCGTCAATAAAGGGTTATGGATGCACCAGGTAAACCATGTCTGGGCCGTCACCGTCACCAGCGGAGAAAGCGACAAGGAAACTGGCCGCGCTAAAAGAATTGAAGGTAAAGGGCCGCCAGTGCATATAATTATCCATCCCGAAGAACAGCAAGTAAAGCTCCGCCTGCATTGGATGCTCTACGGTGCCCAAGACGAGGACATTCGGACAGCGTTCGCCGCGTTCGGTAACGTCACTGAAGTGACGCGAGAACGGTGGAGGGTGCAAGGCATGAGAGAGAAGGGCTCGACAACGAGAAGCGTGCTGCTAAAGCTGAAGCCGGGAATGAAAGTGGATGACCTGCCCTACCAGGTGCGAGTCGCCGGTGAGTTGGCCCTCGTCGTCGTTCCCGGGCGGGCGATGCAGTGTTTGCGTTGCCACGGCACGGGCCACGTGCGTCGAGATTGCAGGGTGCCCCGCTGCTCGAAATGCCGGCCTTACAGACACGCGGACGCTGACTGCGTCCGTACTTACGCGTCGGCGACCGGGATTCCAAGGGCTGACGAGCACGACGAAATCATGGACGTCGTCGAGGCTGAAAAAGCGGCCATGGCAACCGAGGAGACAAGAAAGCAGTTGGGGTTTCCCGGCGGTGACGCCCCGAAACGAGGTCCTCCAGCAGACCGACAGGGCCTACACGCACCCAACCAGTAGGACAGGGTTCGCCGGCGGTCACGGAAGGGGGCTATCACAGAACGAGCGCTCAAAAAGAGCGTGCGGCCAACTCCTTGCGACGAAACGCCGCGAGGTCAACGATAAAAAAAAAAAGAAAACAAACATGCAGACTCCCCGGGCGCGACTCTCTCCCTCAGAAGCGTAGATTCGCCGACGAACCTCCTCACCCCACAACGGCGGCCGAGCAAGCACTCCAACTTTCTAGATGGAAACGGGCGTGGTGAGGCCGGCTTGAGTCAACCATCGCGGACGGCCTTCGAGCCGTCTCGTCCTCTCCCCAGCCTTCGCTGCGTATCGCACCGACGAAATGACGAGAACTTTCTGGAATCTCGCGCGGAAGGTATTTAATTGAGCAGCCGAGGTGAGAGATCAGGAGAAGACGGAAGTTAGCGCCAGAGCGCGTAGGGATTCCGTCGTGTAGTCGGCAAAGGTTTTGTCCGTAGGGACAAAGCAGGAGAAGACGGAAGTTAGCGCCAGAGCGCGTAGGGGTTCCGCCGTGTAGTCGGCGAAGGTTTTGTCCGTAGAGACAAAGCAGGAGAAGAAAATGGTTTCCACCTGAGGGGTGACGACTCGAGCTACAGGCAAGAGTGTGTGTTTACCGCTATCGAGCGAAGAAGCGTGGCAACAGCTGCGTGTGTGAAGCCGACGTGTTTCCGGCGAAGAAGTTTGAAGCTTGGAGATTGGCCAAGTGAAGACGCGAGGTTTCCTGGAAGAGAAACTTCGGCGAGGTTTCCTGGAAGAGAAACTTCGAGGGTAGCGGAACGACAACAATGCTGGACTTTGAGTGATTCTCGGAAGAGTATCATCCAGACTTTTGTTCCAAGAACTTTGGACTTAGTAGGTTTCCTATCTCTTTAGTCTTTAAGTGTCTTGGTTGTTCAATGCATGCGACTGCATTGTAGTGCGTATTGTTCTCTGTGTCTGTTGTTTCGAGTGTGGCTGATTGTACTGTGTAGCATGTTGTTTGGTGGGTGACATATTGTATTCAACTATAGTGGAGTGTGCATACTTGTGTATTGTTTTTTGATCTGCCATTATTGAGAATATAATTTTGTTTGTTTATCAACTCTCGGCTCTGACTTGTTCTTTGGGCCACAGCCGGCGTCCGCTGGCACGCCAAAAAGGACCACTTCTAAATTGTCCACGCTTTCGTGGTGCGGTTCGGGGGGCCGATACGTCGGCCCTTGGAATTAGCCCGGCGATTGCCTCCCTAATTAACGGGACCTGTGTGACAATTAATCTGGCATCCGCGACAGGACCTTTTGGTGCACAGTGCGTCCAAAGTAGCGAGAAAAAGCCTCGAGTTGTTGATACTGCTATCTGAACGATTTTGTGTGTTGCTCAGTGTTCTCGTAAACGAGTGCAGGAGAGTGTTCCGATAGACCGATTTAGGCAGATACTTTTTACACGCGGCAAGACTTTATTTGCGAGACACCATGGATCTCGATAAGTTAGTTGCTCTTGGTGAGAAGATGGGTCTTTCTGGCGCCGAACTACGGAAGTGGGTAAGCCAGAAGGAGAAAGAGGCGGTGGAGAGAGAGAGGTTGGTAGCTGAGAGAGCCAAGGAAGAAAGAGCAGCTGAGTTGGAAAGAGAGATGTCGGCAGCTGAGAGAGCCAAGGAAGAAAAAACAGCTGAGTTAGAACGAGAGAGGTTGGCGGCTGAAAGGGCGAGAGAAGAAAGAGAAGCAAAGGAGCGACAGCTGAAAGAAGAAAGAGAGGCAAAAGAGCGACAGCTGAAGGAAGAAAGAGAGCAGCAATTGAAGTTGGAGCTGGAGAGAGAAAAGTTGGCAGTCGAAAGGGCGAGAGAAGAAAGAGAAGCGGAGATGGCTGAAAGGGAACGGCAGCGGCAGCACGAGATGGAACTCGAGCGGCTCTGTTCGCAACAGCGAAGTGGAACTCCGGTCCAAGCTAGAGTTGAAAGCAGCGAACGGGAGGACCACGGCTTCCGCTTGAACCCAAGCAAGCTCCTCGTAGCGTTTGATGAAAGAAAGGACGACCTTGACGCGTACCTTCACAGATTTGAGACGATTGCAAGGAGCCAGAATTGGCCGGAACATCAATGGGCAACTGCTTTGAGTACTTGCTTGAGTGGTGAAGCGCTCAGTGTGTACGGTAGGCTGATGCCGACCGATGCAGCCAACTATGCAAAGGTGAAAGCTGCTTTGCTGAAGCGATTTAGATTTACTGTGGAAGGATTCCGGGACCGATTTCGAACAGGAAAGCCAGCTGATGGTGAGACGGCTACGCAATATGCCTCCCGACTTTGCCATTATTTCGACAGATCGATCGAACTTTCAGGGACAGCGCAGGAGAACGATGAACTTAGAGATCTCCTAATTAGAGAACAATTTCTTACTAGTTGCCACCCAAGACTGTACTTGAAAGAGAGAAAAGCTAAGTCACTTGAGGACATGCTTGAATTAGCTGATCAATTCTTGGAAGCGCAGGGTGGCACTAATTTGGCCAAGGTCAAAAAGAAATGTCCTGAAGATTCGAAGAAATCGGCACCCGAACAAAAGAAGCGTGCACCGGAGGGTGTTCCGCGATGTTTTCTGTGTAACCGAGAGAGTCATCGCGCGAAAATCTGTGGAACGATCTTTACGGTTGTAAAATGTTTCAAATGTGGTCAGACTGGGCACAAGGCAGACGCATGTCGTAACGGAGCGAGTCAAACTCACCAGGTATCCTGTGCACAAGTGGCACCAAAAACCACTGATGACGTCACCGAGGGATTCGTAGAGTTGAAAAATGGGGAGAAAATCCCTATTGTGGGTGCTGTAATGACAAAACAGCCAGCCGGTGTTTCGAAGGGAATGCCAACGCTGCCTGGAAAAGTTGCGGACAAAAAGATTACGGTGTTAAGAGATACCGGCAGCTCAACTGTTATCGTGCGGAGAAACTTGGTACGGGAAAGCGAGTTAACAGGCAAAACGAAACCGGTTTGCTTAATTGAACGTACAGTTCGGATGCTTCCCGAAGCAGAAATTGAGGTTGAAACCCCGTACTTCAGCGGGAAGATTACTGCTTTATGCATGACGACCCCCCTGTACGACCTTGTCATCGGAAACATCGACGGGGCGCGAGGACCGAATGATCCGGAATGTTTGGGGGAAGACCCGAAGATAGAGCCCTCGCCAACCCAGCGGCCGCGAGATACAGTGGAGGAGCAGCCCATGACGGACCTCACTCGAGCCCAAGGTGAAGCCGAAGTGCAAGAGACAATGAATGATAAGATGATCGTGTTGAATGAGTTCACGTGCTGGGCAGCGCGACTTACGTCGGCACGACCTCAACTGACCGACAGCGTAAAGGTGACGGAGTCGGCCAGCCAGGCCAAATGTGACATGAAGAAGCGGGTGAATAACCGGGCAGGGTCAGTTGAGCGTCACGACCCGTTAACAATGTCGGAAGTGACAAGGATGGCCGAGACGCCGCCTCAGATACCGTCGTTCGAAGGGGCTCGCCGGAACAAAACGAGCAAAAACAATAAGAGATCGAGAGAGCACCATAAGAAAGGGCGCAAGCGCCGCTCGAAATGCACGTGATAGGTGCTGAGGTTAAATAGGAATGTGTTTGGCAGGGCTGAGTGCCATATGTTGTGTTAATCTTCTTGTTATCCTGTGTCACAACTGTATGTCGAGCGAATCAAAATGTTTGTTTCGGTGATGTGATGTATAGTATTGTACAATTGTGGTAATGAGAACTTTGTACATTTGCATTGTCTGGAATATGTGATGGAGTGTTGTACTCATGTACCTGTGGTTATATTTCATGTGTTGTGAGATTGAATTGCAATGTACATTTGTATTGAGTGATCTATTGTGAATGTGACGCGCCATGAGCAACAGACTATGTTACAGTCTTTAAGTGTGTGGGGACTGTTCGCGCTCGTTGGTGTGGTTTTGAATATTATGAGATAATATTCTTAAAGTGGGGGGCAGTGTCACAGAACGAGCGCTCAAAAAGAGCGCGCCGCCAACTCCTCGCGACGAAACGCCGGAGTGACAGCGCGAGGTCAACGATAAAAAAAAAAGAAAACAAACATGCAGACTCCCCGGGCGCGACTCTCCCTCGGAAGCGTAGATTCGCCGACGAACCTCCTCCACCCCAC